ATGCCCAACTGTGAATAAACTGACTCCGATAATATGTTAATTAATAATCTTAATAAAGAATCTTAATTAATGATATTAATTAAAGAAGGTACTTATAAAATACCTTCTTTAATAAGTATCATTAAGTATTATTAATTAAGATGTCTGAATTAATCTGACTTCGACTTAAAAGCCTGACGAAACAGTGTCAAAAACCTGTAATGGCGGATTTATCGTTAACAAGAAAAAAGAATATAAAGGAAAAATAAATAAATTGTGATAAGATATGGTTGGGATAAGTAAAAGAGTGTATATTTTCCCCTGATTTACAAGGTTAGACATTTGCCCGTTCCGAGGTATCGTATATCAGTTATGTGAGAGACTGCGAGTTCGTTCGGGGTATAGCAAAAAGTAGTAGTCGAGATAGACATGTTCATGTAGTCGAGTGAGATAGACTCGTGGGAGAAATATTCCAAGAATTATCGCATTAGGGGCGTAAAACAAGGGTGTGTCTTCTCACCAGACTTATTCAACCTATACAGCGAGGTAATTCTGAGAGAACTGGAAATCCTACCAGGATTCATTATTGGCGGCCACAATCTTAGCAACACAAGATATGCAGATGACGCAGTGTTGATAACAGATATGGAATGGAAACAAACAAAACCTCCTACCGAAGGTAGCAAAGGCGAGCGAGAAGAAAGGACTAAACTACAAGAAGACAGAATGCATGGTCATCAGTAAAAAGACGAGTCCGAAATGCGATTTGCAGGTCAGGGACACTAAAATCAAACAGGTGTGGAAAAATAAATATCTGGGAAGTATTCTGACAGAGAACGATAAGTGCGACGCTGAGATCCGAAAACGTATTGAGATGGCCAAAGACGCATTTCAAAAGCTAGGCAGAGTATTACGAGACAAGTGGATTTCGTCTGTGACAAAGAAAAGAGTACTGAACTACTATGTGACGTCTGTCCTCCTGTATGGCAGCGAATTCTGGACAATCTCCTCAAAGATGAAGAAGAGACTCAAGGCAACAGAGGTATGGTTCTACAGAAGGATGCTAAGGATACCATGGACCGAGCATGCAAGCAACGAGAGAGAATGCAAACAAAGAGGAAACATACTTAACATCAGGAAGAGGCAGCTGAAATTTCTGGGACAAGTAATGAGAAATGAAGGCTTAGAAAATCTGATACTCACAGGGCGAATACACGGAAAGCGGGACAAGAGAAAGTAACGGGTGACATAGCTCGCGAGCTTAAGCAACTGGATGGCAGAAGAGGAACTGGGAGTAGTAGCAAAAAGACAAAACTTATTGAAAACTACAAGGGATAGGAGAAAGTGGAGTGCCATGAACGCCTACGCCCTGAAGGGAGACGTACATAAAAGAAGTTGTCAAATTAGTCTCTGCTACTGCTGATGGTTTGATTGCTAGCTTAAGGTAGCTTAAGGTATCGCAATTGATGGAAACTCATTGGGGTCGCTGTGATTGTCTAGGCAATCGTGTAGTCTTTTGTGTTCGGTTAAGCTTGCCTGCCGTGAGGTTCGTCGCTAAAGCCGGCCTTTGTCGGATTTGCATCCGTCAATGAAATCAGCCTTGGCGTTGGTTTGTTTTCTGGTCGGTCAAGAAAGATGTTTTATGAACCTGGTATTTTGGGACCATATTCCGGAAGTAGGCGCGTGAAGCTGGATGAATTTAAGGACTGTTTTTGCCATATGATCTGTGGGTATCGAAGCGCTTCCACTTGTTAAAGAATTAGAGTTCTGACAGGGTACGACGAACCTGTTCTTTTTGCGGTTATTATGCAAATTCACAGATAATAAAGAAAAAGGAATGTTTTAGGAACTAAGGTGGACTACATCCTGAATAGAGATATGGCACTTAAGAAAGAACTGTTTAACTAAATCTCAACGTTGACCTGAGAGCGATATAACTTAACTGAAATAGCGTGGGCCACTGGTATGTCTTCCTTTTCTCAACAGAATGGAATTTGGTACATGTATCGTAAGTGTAACTCCATGCTTCCATCATTATATTACCGCAGAACGAATAGCTCTGGCCCTTACTTTTTAAGTGCATTGGTAAAATATTACTTAAGAGATAAATATCCAGGAATTATATATATATATATATATATATATATATATATATATATATATATATATATATATATATAATTATTATAAGTCCGACAATTATTTTAAGACATTTTTATGTTTATACGTTCTTTTATAGATACAAATATTTAAGTAAATTTTCTGTTTATAACAAACAGTATTGACGACATTTAAAATAATTGTCGGACTTTGTCCATTTCATGATGTGTGACGTCATTTGTTTACATTTGGATACATTTACTTGAATATTTGTATCTATAAAAGAACGTATAAACATAAAAAATGTGTATATATATATATATATATATATATATATATATATATATATATATATATATACTAATTTGCATATATAAAAACATCATTTTCTTTCGTTTATTAGACTTTGAATTCTATCACTTCATGTCCTCCATAACTTGCCTGACTTTTCAGTTAACCTGATAAATATTTATGAGCGTTCCTATACCTACAAATTTGGAAAACCTAATAACATTTTTCTCTTGTATATAAATACTTGTTACAAAATAAAATCCTCATATTTACCTTAATAAAGTCCCTCAGAGGACGAAACGCGTCGGCTAAGATAAGTTTTCCTTTTTTTTAGTGGATACTTTATATCATCACAGTAAATTTTGAATATTCCAGTAATCTTATGGAACAAAAATGTACCCTCCTGTAGGATTGAACCCTGTTTCCCCCTTTTCAGGAAAAAGCGTTGTTAGATCCGTCGTGTTTTTAGACCACTCGGCCACAAAGGACATCATCGATCAAGCGAGGCTGTATACTGCCTTTTAAGCTCATCCCTCTCGTTTTAGTTTCCTGAAAAGTTTATAATTGCTCAGTTTCGTATCCGAAACGCAATGCAATTTCTAAAGAAGTATTTATTAACCCCACAGATCTTTATCCCCTTAAACGTTATTTTAGTGGATAACCATATTTGTGTAGACGCTCTGTTTATTTCAAACAGTATATGTATTTTCTTCTACCGGCCTGGATACTCGAATAAGATTTCTGGAATATTCAGAAGGATGACTTGAACTGGAAAGGATAATAACCGCACAAAAATGGCTGAGAGCTGCAAAGGATAGGAAGTTGTGGAGAGCTATGATTGCCCACTTCCTGAAAGGACACGAAGCCTAGGAAGAATAGTTATTGCTTTATGGAACGATTCTGAGTACATTCAATCTTTAACAAAAATGTAGTCTTTTTGAAGTGTCTATTGCCTCTTACATATCGACAGACTTTGTTTATTACAAGTTTTTTTTCTTTCTTTTTTTTTTTTGAATAGGTTATTTTGTCAAATCCCGGTAGAATAGAGACCAGGGCTATTTTGCCGATCCCGGTAGAATAGACACCAAGGCTATTTTACCGATCCCGGTAGAATAGACACCAAGGCTATTTTACCGATCCCGGTAGAATAGACACCAAGGCTATTTTACCGATCCCGGTAGAATAGACACCAAAGCTATTTTGTCGATCCCGGTAGAATAGACACCAAAGCTATATTGCATATCCCGGTAGAATAGACACCAAGGCTATTTTGCCGATCCCGGTAGAATAGACACCAAAGCTATTTTGCCGTCCCGGTAGAATGGACACCAAAGCTATATTGCATATCCCGGTAGAATAGACACCAAAGCTATTTTGCCGATCCCGGTAGAATAGACACCAAGGCTATTTTGCCGTCCCGGTAGAATAGACACCAAAGCTATATTGCATATCCCGGCAGAATAGACACCAGGGCTATTTTGCTGGTAAATATAGTGTTTTAGAACTAAGAATATATTATATATAAGATCGTCAACACAGTGGTTGTGTGAACTGTCTAAGCAGGACATGAACAACCTGGATTCTGTGGTCTGTGACTGTCTTCAGTGGGTTCATCTGATGTCTATCGGCAAGAAAAACCATACCCAAGGGCAAATTTTGCCTGAAATGCTTAAAAAATATTATATATATATTATATATATTATATATATATATATATATATATATATATATATTTAAATTTATATATGAATAAGTGATTTTAACTTGTGTTTTAACAATCGACGGTGGAAAAGATTTAAATTTACTTGAACAATTGATGATGAAAATAAACTTCTGTGTTAAATCTGTGAGTTGAGACTTTTAACATTACCTGCCTTCGTAATAATAAAAATATTTACCGGCAAAATAGTCTCTTTCTTTTTTATTATTATTATTATTTGCTCTTTGACCTAACCCTATCGTGACTTTGAACTCTTTCGTAGTATTCATGAACCCCTAAGCCAACTGTCTCTCTCCCCCACCATATCTCAGTAGTCTGGGAAAAAGCTTCGATCTGATACACCTCTGACCCCTAATTGTTTAATTGTCTGCTTCGTATCCGTTCCCAGAATCCCTCATTTTGACCGCTAAAATTAACTGCCTTCGCAAATGCTAGAAAATAGATTCCATACAATAACTATTGTAGAAGGAGCCTAAATGAATGTTTGTAGCTTCGGCGTTTACTAAGTCGTACGCGTTTTAGTAACCAAGCGAGGAATAACAAAATTTTAAAAAATCGGTAGGGTGGGCTTATATTAGATACTAAAAGTGATGGGTGGCTAAATTCAATTTTGAAGATTCCTTATCCTATATTTTCTTACGTAATTCTCACATAAAATTGGAATTTATTTTACATATATTGTCCAACTACGACCACGTATTGCTGTTTTGATTTCAAAAAGTTTTATACTTTTTTTCTAATTATTTTGTGGAATGAGATACCGTGCATACATATAAAATTTATATAAAAGGTTGAAGCTGATGGTTAGAAAAAAACATGTCTAATCAAATCTGATTTATTTTGAAAATTAACGTCTAGAATGATTTTTAGCAAATCAAACAGCTTTGCTCAGGCTTAAGATTACATCATGTTGAAACACCGGTTGCCGTAAGATCACCGATGTTAAGTAACGTTGAGCCTGGTCTGTACCTAGATGGATGATCGCTTGCGAATACCAGGTCCTGTAAACGTGGATATACGGCTGGTGTAATGGCTGCTTGCGGCCACATCACGTTGAAACAACGATTCGCGTACGATCACCGATGTTAAGTAACGTAGAGTCTGGTCTGTACCTAGATGGATAACCGCTTTCGAATAAGAGGTCTTATAAGCTTGGATTTATGGCTGGTGAAATGAGCGTTCGTTCTAGGTAATCCTAAGGAATCTTGATGAAAAAAATTCAATCAATTTAAGACCATTTAGGTCCCATCAGTATTAAGAAAAATAAGCATGAAACGAGCGGATATGCATATGAGGCAATGGTTAGTTGATCGGTACGTGAAAGCGGCGAATCGAGTTCGTTGCATTTACTTTCGCGCAAATACCTATTGAAACGGTATTAATCAGCTCTTCTGTCCGCCATGGTGAAATAGCAGGGCAAGTAGTGTTCTCTTTTCGTGGTTGGCAAGCAGTGTAGGAGAAAGAACTCTGAATTCAAAGCCGTATGTAGACCTTGGCTAAGCAGCCATCGACAGGATTTTGGGGCTCATAATGACTGTCCTGACTGCGGACGACCTACGACTGCGTCGATCTATTGTTGTTATTATTATTATTAAGCAACAGAAATAAGATGGAAAGATAAACTAGCAAAAAAAATATAATAATGATAAAGCTTCATTTAAGAAATTTCGACAACTTATGAAGAAAGAAAGAAAGAAAGAAAGAAAAAAGAAAAAGAATGACAGCAAAGCTTCAGCAACAGCAGCCGCAGTAGGAAAAAACCTCACTGAGTTCCGTCAAACGTGATAAGTAGCAGCTGCATGAAGCAGGCAGTTTAGTTTTAAGTTGTCCGCTCAGAATTGTTCTAGAATATCTGAGGCTAAAAGGTGCGTTCGTGAATTTAGATAACATAGTAATTGTGAGTTCAATTTCGGACATTGTACACAGACTCATAGGAGAACAATAATAAAACAGTACTAAATAAGAACAAGGCGAGATATACATAGACATGGTGAACGGATCGCGAACAACCACCACATAGACTAAATAAAGGATTCAGTTCGAAATATCCTGAAGATTACCCGTAACAACAAGCACCTGAAACGTTGCAATAACAAAACAAAAATGAGAACAATAAATAGGCTTGTAAATTATGACAAATCTTCAAAAAGAAACTATATATTTATTACTACTTGGTGTACATAAGCATCTAAATAAGATGAAAGAAACACTAAGTAAAACTTATTAATAATGGCAATGTTTACCATTTTATATCTAGTTTATTACCAATTGTGTTTTTATTTAGTGATATGATATATATTTAAACGAAAGGGAGAATATTGTGGTCGCATCGAATGTTTTCTTGATTAGGAGAAAGGAATGAATATTTATATATGAATACAATGTACTATTAACAACATTTTATTGCCTTAGCAAACTAAATAGAAATGTTATAAAAACAGGTAAGTGGAAACGGGCATATTGAAATGTTCGTTTTCGAACGTACGGTAAACGTAATGTCCTATTGAAGATGCTGAAAGACTTCCGTTAGAGAAGGCTTTCTTGTTAGTTTGGTAGAGCTGTCAGCTATGAGCTACCAGCTAAAGAGTTATCAGTTAAAAAGTCCCCCCGTAGAAGAAACGAGATACGTCTTGTCCCTACGGCATCCTATCGGTGGGAGGAGAGAGAGAAAGAGAGAGAGAGAGAGAGATCGTGTACATTTTTCATTATATACTGCTTTATATAACACCGCGAAGCATTCGCTAGCCAAAGTTTCTTGGAAGACAAGTGGGGTAACCCGACAAAAAATTCATAAAGATTTATTATATATAAACTAGCAGCACAAGAAATAAACGAAAAACGAAAACCTTAATATATATAAAATACAATGACTTGATGTACTTATCTGTTGTTACTGCATAGTAATGAGTTATTAGTTATACGACCAATTACTCGAAGTCACTCGAAGGGAAATTGCTTTGTGTGACAATAATAATTGAATATCTAATTGCTTAATAAAAAATCAGTTTGTTAATATATTACTTTTTATTTATTTTGTTTTGTGTTAGCTTTTTTCTTATATTTTTACTTTTAATGATTTGAAAAGGAGAATACGTTCTTTATGATCGTTACTTTTTTTAATCGGTTTCACCCCATACAAGGCAATAAAGCCACTAAGACACAAGGAGTTACAGAATGTGGAAGAATTAGGAACAGAAACATTAATGAGCGGGAAAAGGAGTAATCAAAAGCATAGTAAATAGCTATTGATATTACATTTAAATTTTTGCAGATTAAAGTTGCCTGGAAAGCATAGAGCCGAAAGGGAGTTCCATAAGCAAGAACTGCGAGAAAAGAAACTGTTAGCATAGAACTTACGGCTACATCTCGCCAGCTCAACTGTAAATTGATGAAATCTCGACTGCGCTTAAATTAAAAAAAAATCTACGTACCATAGCGAAGAGTTCATCCGAACAATTACAATGAAAGTATTTCTAGAAGGGACACAGGCAGGCAACCTTTCGGCGATGGGAAAGTTACTGAAGCCGAGCCGCCAGATCAGGACCAATAATATTGCTGATTCTTCTTTGTATTTTATCAAGGAGCTCAAGGTAAATAGAAGCAGCACCGGACCATATGTGACAGCAATATTCTAAGCATGGACGAATTGTAAACTTATAGATATGTAAGATAGATTCTGGAAAGAAAAATGGTCTCGCAGAGTACATTGAACAAAATTTCTTAGCAGCTGTCCTAGCAATGGATTCAATACAGTCTTTTCACTTCATGGCAGCTGAGAATGTTAGCACGAGAAGGCGCAATGAGTCATTTTCCTGGAGGTTAGCATCAGTCATGCTGGTGGAAGGTAGAGAGAGGTCTCTCAGATGATTAATGGAGAGAAGTTTTGGAGGCGTTCAAATTAACAAGCCATCTTTTGCTTAACATGAAGTAACCGTCTACAACCGTTTTTATATTTTTTAATTGTCTTCATTAATAATTTTCGTAACTATTTTTAACAACGGCCAGATACTACCAAGAACGCCTGTAAGTTAGTGCTGGATTCACTGGCCCAACATATTACTAATTACACCCTTGTGTAAATTAATTGAAACAACCGCTTTAGTTTCCTTTCTTTCACCATAAGGTCACTTTTAGACCCACTAGAGTGACAGGGTGTAATCGATTTCTATATATTTTCCCCAGATTAGGTCATTTGCAGTAGTGTGCAGTAATATGAATGTATTTTTGGGTTTATAATAAAAAATTGTTTGGCCTTGAAAAATATTGCGTCATCCATGATTGCATCAGATTTTTATCACGCCCAGACACTGTTGTCTTGACTGTCGATTAGTTGTCCTACGGTCATTGTCTGTTACTCAAAGGAAGCGTACAAAAAATGTAACGCTGCACTAGAGACCATACCAGTGAGCAAATCAAAGTACCATTGACTGACCCGGAAACTCTCCTGATTTAAATCCAATCAAAAATCTGTGATTATTCGTGGAATGAACATACTAAGTACTAACATGTGCACTGGGTCATGTTTCATTGGAAAAATACAAGAAAAAGTAAATAATAATGGAATTATTTGTTTTGTTTCAATTAATTTGCACAAGAATCGAAGTGTGGCCTTCGAGCAGCCTGGGTTATCAGGAATTTAACCTGCAAGGAAATTACAGGAAAGGTGCGTGGAGCCTATGTTGATTTAACAAAAAGCATTTGATAAAGTCAACAAGATTTCTTCGTGGGAAATATAGAGAAAGATTGGTTGTCCATGCTTCAATGTTATTTTGTTATGGCATAAAAGCGTTGGTAACTGTTGGTGGTAAGCTGTCTGAAGCACTTGAAATAAAGAATGCAATGAAGCAGGGATACAGTCCTGCTCCTACCGATTTCTCTTCACAATGATGTTTTACATGGAATTCCACGACTGGACTGATGACGCATATATGCGCTATCGCACCTCTGGAAATCTATTTAATATCAACAGAATGTCGGCAAAGATGATGGTATCTGCTATATTTAAACGAGACTTGTACGAAGGTCGTCTGAAAATTTCAAGGCTGCCTAAGATACTCTCACGGAATGTGACCAAACGAGGTGCATTTATCAAGTGTCAACACCCTTCTTCCATCGATGTTGCAATACTTGGATCCCATTGGTGGGAGGAACACTGTTCCTCTTGTTGGTCAAAAAGTCATTGACGGCAGATATGACATCATTATACATGTCATACTGGTTACCAGGCAAATGTTTTTTTTTCGTGTTGGGGAACAGATGATAATCAGTTGCGGACCAAAGAATAAGGAGAGTGTTCAACCAGTTCAAAACCACAGTCACGCACAGCCGTCGTTCAAACCAAGGATTTGTGCGCTGGAGCATTTACCTGATGAAACAAGAGCACTTTTGTCAGTTTTCTTTTGGCGTTTGGTTTTGATAGCCTTTCGAAACTGCCTCAGCAAACTGGCATAGTATTCGACATTGATGTTGTGACTCTTTTTGCAATCCCCAAAACCTGAGGCCATCGCCTTCGCTGCTGAGGAAACGACCTCCTCAACTGCTCTTCGGAGATTGTCTCTTTCCCTCCGGCTCAAAAGTGATCAACCCAACACTCATCCTGATTTAGGAAACGTTTAAGCAAACCAGCAAATCTCAAAAAATGTCAGATTTTACCATGATGGGATCAGTCTGGTGCACTTTTGATCAGGTGTCAAAAGAGGTGGCACACACGGAGCAGAAACCTTCGTCATGCCAAGTTCATTGTGCAGAATATTCTCAACTCTCTCATGGGATATGCTAATAGCATTGGCTATTTGATTTATAGTCAATTGCCTGTCATCCATCACCATGTGGTAAACATGATCAATGTTTTCCTTGATGGTGACAAGACATCCTGACTTTGGATTATCTTCAAGACTGTCTCTCCCTCTACTAAATTTTGATCAGGTGTTAGAAGATGTGGCACCCATTGAGCAGAAACCTTCATCATGCCAAGTTCATTGTGCAGAATATTCTCAACTCTCTCAT